ATGGCTTTTCCATCGGATTCAGATCTTGCTAGCAAGTAGACCATCCGAGTGAATCTTCATGGTTGGCTACAAAGCGAGTTGAGGTCGGCTCATAACATGAATATCAGCGCTGAGAAGTACGCCAATGATGACGATTCTGCATCGTAGACGGTAGAACGCGATGATTGAGCCACTTATTGGTAGTCGGTGGAGTCCCTTTCGTTGAACCGTGAAGACCACGTCTAGCTTGCCATACCAACTGTAGGTTGTGCAGCGCTACCAAGCTCATCTTCGAGAGGGAGATGGAACTTCCCCTGCAAAATCCAACAACAAATAAGTTGTTTGGCATCTCGCCCCAAGTGCAATCTGTACGAAAAGCTAACAGATTTACCGAACACGATAATGTGCTCTGACACACCGGCTACGTCTACGATGCAGAATCGTCATCATCGGCATACTTCTCAGCAGTACAGCGCTGTTATTCATGTTACTGAGCCGACTTCAACTTGCTTTGAAGCCTACCATGAAGATTCACTCGGATGGTCCACTTGTTAGCGAGGTCTAAATCCGATGGAAAACCCATGGGGCATTCCTGCCCGTAGTGTTTGTTCCTGGAAAAATCGGCACAACTCCATGCATCTCCTGCAGAAGAAGCTACTCGAAAAATTACGCACGTATCTAGGATTAGGCATACAAAAATTGGTAGATAACATGTCAGATAAGGCTCCTCAGGGTGAAAGCGTCTCACGGCGAATCCGTGGCCTGCTCACCTACAATACAGTGCTATTACGACTGTGGAGTAGTTTGGAAAAATTTTAGTGAAGTAAAAAAATTGTCAAAATTTCTGCTATGTCGTATAATTTTGCAACGGCCGTTTTTTCAATTTTTTGACCTAGATTTCTGGAATTTGACAAACTGCTTGAAGATTCTCTATTGTAGGTTTCTTTACACGCTGAATCGAATGGCATTAGCCATTTTCGTGCTGAGTTTCTCGTAACTTCAGAAACCCAAAATTTGGGGTATGTCGTATAGTTTTGCAACGGAGTGTAGCTGCTTGTTTGGCGTAAATCAGGCACAGAAGGAAAGAAGCACGACTGAAACGCTACGTTTTTTTATCAACTCAATACAAACGTTGTACAGCAAGATGTTCGGTACGTTCGAAAAGCCGTTAGCTGAAATGATGGTGCAAAATTCCCATTAACATGATTCCTCGTCTTTTTGAAGCTGATCAATAAAACGTAGCCCATTTTATAAAAACTGTTATCTTTGACAGCCTTCTAGCTACCATTTCTTGGTCATTTCTACTTTCCACGTACTTCCCTGTACAGCATCTTGAAAAACACTCGATTTACCTTTTACATTGGTTTTTCCTCTTTCACGAGTGATTGGTCCGCTGAATAGTTTGCTGGCCTGTTAGTGTTTTCGCTGTGTTGTGATTGGATATGAATTAACGCTTTTACATGGGAATAGCATGCAACCTTACACATCAAATTTGTTTCTTATGAGTGTGAGCGGGTCCTAATAATAGGTAAGTTTCATGTTTTTGTAAAAATAATCTCACCTTAGTCCATCGTCGTCTCATTTGCTCGCATATCTGAGGCTTCTAGTTGTCATTGTTTGTTGATATTTTACCGATACCATTGATTCAGCACTTAATTTGGCATTTTTTTCTACATTCTCTCATCTTGCTGGAAGGTTCTTTAGTTGGTACATATCCAATTCGCACTGTATTCGTTTCATTTTCTGAGACGCCTAGAGGGGGTGTCAGTGGTATATCGTTTTAACACTTTGGTAGGGGTTTTAAATAAAACATATCCTGAATATTGACAGGTTTTGCAGAATGCGCCAAATAGTCGTCCACTGACAGCGGGACTATCATTGCCAACTCGGCCTCTGGGTGGAATCTCTGGCTTCGATCAGCAGCGAAATATGAGTTCCAATCCTTTGATGAGGTAACTTTTCCCGTGCTTGAATGCATATGGTTCTTAGTCTTATCAGT